ATGAATGTTGTTCGTCCTTGTCTTTCGTTGATGATTTTTTTAATTAGAGTTTTTGTTATCCAGTTTGCGCTTTTATATATTTGGCAGCTTCCTTTGTCTTCTTTCTGAATTCCTTGGATGGCTGCCTGGCTATCTGTGTATATCTTGATTTCTGCTTGTGCTGGAATTGTTACTAGCATAGTTAATATTGCCATCAGTTCTGCTCTTGTTGACAATGGAAAGTGTTCTGTATGACCTGAATATATAACTTTCTCTCCTGTTTCCTGATCAGTTACATGCCATCCCACTCCCTTATAAAGCTTATAAATACGTATTTAAAGTTAATATTAATAATTAAACACCTTTTAATATACAATATTTTTTGTGCATCCAATATTTACAGATTGTTCTTTATTTTTTTTTCCTGAGACCAAGATTTTTAGCTGCTCTCTTGATGTTACTCGTGAACAGACTACATATAACTAACCATAAGAAAACACTGGATTATGCAAATACAATCCTACACGTGATAATGTCTGGCCTTGAGCCTTATTGATAGTCATGACAAAAGCAAGCCGCATAGGAAAGTGATAATGCTTAAGAACAAAAGGCAAGTTTAAATCGGAAGTGATAAGTGTGATGTGAGGAATGAATATATGTTTTCTGACATTTGTACTTGTGATAATCTTGGCATAAATAACATGTTGTTAAAGTTCATAACAGATTAATCGAGTTCTATTGCAGAGACCTTTTGTAACATTCAAGTTGCACAACAGCATAATTAAAGTACCAACTTTGAGTAAAAGCTTATGAGCAGGCAGGTTTCCCATATTCAGAGAATTTAGAAACTCAACGAGATAAATATGCATTTGATTGTTATCATCAAGAGAATCTGCACTAAAGTATATTATTGTTTCTTCTAAAAATACATGCATAATGGCATTATTGATTATATCAATATTATTATTTTTGGATACTAGGATTACTTGATATACCAGATAGTCGGAGTTGTTATATTGAGCAGTAAGATCAGTATATACAAAGTCAATTAGGTTTTGGATATCCTAAGATGATATAACAATATTCATAGGCAGCCTTATTATACCTTTCTCCTGATTAACTGTTTGTATATGTCCCTCTCCAAGCTGTTATAACTAATTAGTAAATTTCTGTTGAGTAATAACATCCTGATTTTTATTATTTTGCCATAATCGCATATTTATCTTTAAGAATATTACTTGTATATGTTGCCATAAATAGAATTGTTGGAAACATGCATCTACAATATTTTCATGGCCAGCTTTTGGTACAACTGGTAATATTTGACGAAAATCTCCTTCAAACAAAAAAATCTTTCCTCCAAAAGGCTTATATTCTAAAACTGGATTGATTGCTTTCATTAGATTCCAAAGTGTTCAATTTACAATCTCAAAAGCATATCAGTACATCATTGGTGCTTCATTCCAGATAATAAGTTGAGCCTTTTTAAAAAGAACAGTAATATTTATTTGATAAGAGATCGAGCAAGTGGAGCTTTCATTCAGATTAATAGGAATCTTAAACCAGGAGTGTGCTGTACAACTACTACTAAGCAGAAGAGCAGCAATGCCAGAAGAGGCAACAGCAAGGGCAATATAACTGTTAGCATGAATTTCGGTCAGTAAAACATTATAAAGAAATGTTTTGCCAGTTCCTCCATGTCTGTTTACAAAGAAAGAAGCAGATCTATTATCATTTATAACATGTATAACAGTGTTAAACACAAAAGGCTGATTAGGATTGAGCTGTGATTTGTCATTATTGACTTTTTAAACAAGCGCAAGAATATTATATCATTGCTCCTCTTGGATAAGATGACTTTCATAAATTAGTAATAATTGTATAGTTGGAGTGGGCATACATGGAAAGCTTCTAAGATCCTTGCCATATTGACAAAGAATGGATTGAATATGATGTAGCGCTTTGTTTTGCAAATATTCGTTACTTAGTTCTAGAGTATGATCTCCAGTTTTATGATGGGCTTGTGCAAGGATATCATTTGTGAGCGCAATTTTATATTTTTCCCAGAGTTGTATTGGATAGGTTGGTTCACAATATATATATGGCATAAATTATTTTGCTTTTGATCCAATTCCCAAAATCCTCAAAAATAATTGTGTTATGACTTAATTATTTATATGTTTTAATAGTGACTCAATTAATTGCGTCAAATAATTGCATCAATTGCGTCAAGGATCTACAAATTTCAGCAACATGTATAGTTCACAGAATAAGAGAATTGTGGCAAATAGATGACATAGTTATGCTCCTGACTGAATAATGCTTGCCTCTTGTAGGCAGTCCTCCCATTCTCTATTATTTTTAAGTAACCCTAAGGCATTACAGGCCTCTTTAAAGGAGTTATAAATAATGTCATTTACCATTTGTAAATGCTTAAATGAAGTTGTCCCAGGTATGATATTAAGTAGCATATAGAGATAATACCTTTCCCTGATCCAGAATATGCAAAGTGCATGCATCCGATTATGTTGCCACGTTTTCTAGATATCCATTGTCTCCACTGCTTATTCCAAATCCATTTCATTGAAAAATCATTATAGATTAGTTCCCTAGCTTCTGGATATAGGATATTTGCTATGAACCATTCAATTAACATTGTTTTATGAATGTTGTTTAGTTGTAGGACTTCTTGGAGAGATTCATTATCTGAGAATACTACTATATGTTGATCTGGAAAGTATACTTGGAGTCGTTGAATATCCAGCTTTTCATTATGCAATCTGTAATAAAAAATTCTTTAAGAAGTCTCTGATGCTAATATATATCAGGCATCAATATAAAGTTATATCTCATCTATCACATTTATTTTTTGTTCGGTATTATTTCCTGAGGTCAACTTAACTAAGGCATGATTATATCCCTTGTATACATATTTGAAAAGATACTTAACAGCTGAAATTGACAAACAAATTTCTACGTTTATATGTGCATTATACTTAGAAGCAAGGTAAAGGTTATAAGGAATTACCTATCGATTGTCTAGTGTAATTCCTTTAACTTTCACAGTGCTTCCATCATTTCACCATTGATATACTGGATAACTATCTTTATTCTCTGTAGTAGTTGTACAAAATTGACATGGATAATTTTTTGAATATCTGCCATTTTGTATGCAAGGGGCATTGGGAGCTATATTACCATATGGTCCATATATCATTATCTTTGTCATTGTTTCATATGCTAAAGGATAGAATGTTGTATTAGGAATTTCAGCCAAAACAATATAATCAAAATCATCACTTGTTCTAGGTTTATTCTCTGGTGCAAGAATTAGTAACATATGAGTATGTGGAAGTCCACACTTCTGAAACTCAATGATATAAACATAACCTATTACTTTGCCAAGAATATTATTTTTAAGAATATCTTTGAGAAGCTTTTTAAGCTTTAGATTGAAGACTCATACAATAAGATCAGGACGATTCTGAGCATATTGGTTAGGAAGAAGCTCAGCAGTAATCTCAGGCCACATTGGATTGCAAGTAAAGGTTATAAAAAGATTAGGCTTTCCAATGCGATGCACAATTCTCATGACATCCTGATAAAGTTGGTGCATTTAACGAGGGCCTCCTGTAAATATTGAAAGTAGAACAATTTGCTGACCAAGGTTTTTACCTGTTCCTCCATCTTTCAGTTCATTCATATTACAAATATCATTCTGTAAGCCTGCCAATTCATATAAGAACAAAGACAATTAGAATAGAAAATAGTATAGCGAAATTACACTTTTATATACTCACCTTGATAGAGTTCTGCATGGATCTTCTTCTGATTAGCTTTTACAAAATTCAAGTGATTTTGCTCAATAGTTGCATAGGCATCTACAATGTACTGTTGAAATAATCAACCTGCCAAGTGTAATCCTGATCCTTCCTTTGTTTATACTTGTAAATAATATGAATAGAACTGCATAAGTATAACATACTTACACTTTGTCACATGTAGGTTATCATTATATATGTGGCATAAATTATTTTGCTGTTGACTCAATTCCCAAAATTCTTAAAAATAATTGCATCATGACTCAATTATTTATATGTTTTAATAGTGACTCAATTAATTGTGTCAAATAATTGCATCAATTGCATCAAGGATCATGAATTTTAGCAACATGTATAGTTATCATCCTCGCTCTCAAAACTATTTTCATTATTTTCACACTGATTCATATTATTCTGATTTATATTAATTACTATATCAATTTGTATATTATGAAAAGGAATCCATGGATACCAGCTATCTTCACCTCTTAAAAATAGCAATACATAATGCAAAGGAATGTAAGATCTGTAAAGTTCTGAGATTCGTTAAATATTTCCATCTCAAAGATTAATCACAATATCATGATGAGAAGGCTCAATTTCTTGATCATTTTCTATCATAATAACTGCTACTTCACTGGCAGTTGATATATTATAGTGTTGTGAATCTATATTCTTGTCAGCTTTGACTACCATTGAAAGCATTGTAGCAGGTTCCTGTATTAATATATCATACATTTGTCGAAAAACTCCAACATATGGATTTATTAGATCCAGCATTCTCTGCAAATCCATAAGTACAGTAGCATCTAGAAAGGGCATCACATTCATTCTATTCTGCACTTCATGCTTTGTATCATAAATATAAAGCTGAGTAAAATTCAAAAAATCTGCACCTTGAACAGGTAAAAGGAATTCAATACTATGATATAACTCTCCATGAATGCGAAATGTATAAACACTTGGATGATAATGGTTGTAAAAAAAAAAAGTTCTAATTATTATACTATAATAGCAGGTAATAAGAATAATAATATATATTTAGTACCTGAAACATGATTATCAATATTTGCATCTATGGAGGTAAAGACCAAGGCTGAATTGTATGATCGAATTAACTGATGGAAGTTGTGTGCTCTAGTATCAACACCAGTAAGAAGCATATATAGTACAGATGGAAGATTCTGTAAAGCTAGAAGAATAACCTTGCCTTCTGTGCAACAACTTGTAAAAATAGGTGAATGTTTTCTTGAATTTGCCTTTCTCTCTTCTAATCATATACTAGCACCACAATTTTGATATATTTAATCCATTCTATCTAGATAATGTCACTTTAGAGTATCTGGTTGAAATGAATATAATGCTGTTGGTAAAAAATCAATATGTAAAGAGATGGAAAGAGCAATGACAGAAATAATTGATACTAAATATATAAAAAAAAAGATTAAAATTTTTAATTGCAAATATTCGATATAGACATTAATATGCATATATTACTTGCATCATTATTATTAGAAACATGAATTTCTCTCAGTATATGCATTTAAGCAGTATTCGATTCACGTTGATGGAAAATATCTTCAGATGCTCAGGCTGCTCTGCATACACGCATGGAAGTAGTATTGTATGCTCTTCTTGTCTCAATTTCACTTGCAAATTGTTGATTTTGTTGCATATATGCTCTTTCTCTACATTTCTTAAGTTGTTGACTTTTCACTTGTCCTCACGTGATTTCTCTTGCATTTGTTGATCACAAGAAAGTTGGTAAATGTATAATAAGGATGTATATTTGAAACAGAAGAGCAAAATCAAAAAATTAAAAGTAAGTTAACCATGTATTGCGCATAGTTACTTACACATGAAATTATCTATAATACATTATATACAGTGTGAGTCAAAATTATTGGAAAATCACTGCGGCGAGATCTGTATAAATTAAACTAACCAAACTCAGA